TCCTATGATCATCTGCAGAGTAAAGAATTAACAGCTGCACCATAGCACTTCAAATTACGATTATATCGTGGACGCAAATGGATCGCTGATGGAAGTTTTTGAATTAAGATATCCGACTTTTCTTTTATTTTGATGCACATATCGTTTTACACTTTAATTTATAAAAATATGATTGAAATGGAGTTGCATTTGGTTAAGGTGAAAAAAATTGCATCTATCAGAATGGATTGTAACTACGGTAGAGCAGGGATTTTGCATGGTTGCATCATTTTATAACACATGGCAGTTATTGCAAGAAGAAATTCTGAAGTTATCTTGTGAGGAAAGGAAGGGAAGCAGAGATGAGGTTGGAAAGATTTAATTTATCAATTTAGTCGTAAATCAGCGACCCAATGATCAATTTTAGCTTAATCGAATGAGCCGTCATCCTGTCACTTCTAATAATCATCAGCTAATTGACGATTTGCTTTTGGTTTGCGGCAAGAGAGGCCACCTCAACGCTATCCAAATGTCCATCAGCTAACTCTCATTTCCAAACAGTTTGAATACGTCATTTTATAACAGTCTAACATCCATCACCAAACCCATTTCATTCCTTTCCCCTCTGTTTACCGAAAGTCCTACCGGCGTTAAACACTATTTTAACTGCAGTCAGTGGAAGAACGATTACAACGATGATTATGCCAGTTACAGGATAATGATAACGACGATTATGATTACAAGGCTATTCAGTGCTTTTTCATACCTTGTTCAACACCACTTTTCTTCGTTTCTGCAACAAATTCAACTTTCATCTATCATCTTACATTATTGATGAATATCCTATTCAGTCCAACGATTTTGCTGTGTGGTTTCTAATCACTCATTGATCAAATCAGCAATCTTTTTACAACAACTGGTTGATATTATTTCTGATCGAGCGGAATGTTCTGAAAAGGCTATTCGAAGAAATGGGCCAGTTACGTGAAGGAATCTAAAAATTAAGAATGTTAATTTGGCATAACTCATTGAGTAAATCCGGAGCAGCTTCTGCAGTGAATCAATACAAGAATATGCACGAATATAAGAATATTCGAATATACAATATTATTTACACGAATATATTATTTACACGAATATTATTTACACGAATATTTACACGAATACACGAATATACAATATTATTTCCATTATTTCTGTCTTTATTAAAGTTTCCAAAAACTTTGGAAGCTCTTTTCTCAGAGATTTCCTTGTGTACAACGTGAGCTTATATCATTGAACTGATTTGTAGGAAAGTGTAGTATGAATAATGTAACTTGTAGATTTTATGCGCGATGAACAAATGATAACTGGCAGTGATTTACGCAAATGTAATTATTTCAGCAGTGCGGAATTTGTTTCACATTGAAAATCAAAGTTTTTTGTATGAAAGAGTAGTTTACAGAGGAAGAAAGAAAAAGCATTAGTTGGATACAGTTGTCACAAATTTTCAAAATCTATTGCTGCTCTCTTAGTAATTGCTATGTTAACTTCTTGAATTAAATCCCGAAGTTGAGAGCCTCTTTTATTTGTTCGTGTCATTGATAAAAAAAAATACTTTTAAAAAAAATATGTTCGTGTCATTGATAAGAAAATTAAAACTTCACTCATTGTGAAGAAATTTGAATTAAAAGCACCAAATCACTCTGGCTTCTAATGCGTCATACATTTCTTATTAAATCGTCCGTCGGACACAGATATATCATCATTTTTCCTTCGGATAAGCCTTATCGTGAAGGAAAAGCACTGCAACAAAATTTTTCAGAGATTATAAAGTAATTATAAAACACGACTGGCTGTAATATGGTATGGCAGGCTTTAATTTCAGTTAGTTTGAAAATTAAATTATATAGCAGCTTTGGTCTGATCTTGTTTCAGACTCACAATTCCGAGAGATTTTTTGTTTTACTAATTTTGATTATTTCTTATTATAATTCATGAAATATTGCCATGCATTAGCTTCGTCTTTATGATAAACTTCAAAAATCCTTTAAAAATCGAGCTGAAGTTCATCATCAGTAAGTGATTAACGCAAAATGGTCTCCCAACTAGACGAATCTAATTCATTGGTACATTTCGAATCAAAAGTATTTGTCGAATATGTCCCAGCTTATTATTCATCAAAAAAGCAGGAAATTGTTAAACAGGAATATTAAAATGTTTTACTTGTCAGTAGAAAAATAGTCTACACCTAGTAAGTTTGATAAATCTGACGAATAATTTACTACTACTGAGATCCGAGCCAAATTGTTCTATTATTGTAAGATGAAATAAATTGCTGATATAAGTATATGTGTCTATAGATCTCTCGGTTAAGAAAATTCTTTCAATACGGAAAATTATGTAATTCCAAAATTAAGCTTCATGGCAATATTTTAATTTTGCATTTGTAACACTGCCTAGATAAGTTGATTCAATGAATTTCTTGAAAGTGATGCGCACCATTGTGCCAGTATCCTTCCTTTCATGTATCGGCTCGTTGTTAAGGTAATTTAGATTTGAAAATACTGAAATTCATTACTTAATCACTTAACTTCTGCTACCGATTTCGTATGATGTAATGTTGTAATTTTCGTGCTTCGTTCATTGCTGTCCTTTATATTATTTATCAAATTGTTTATGTATCTCTTCGGCTATATCCCGCTTTCTTTTTCCTATTTTTAAAGAGAGAAATGAACCTATGTAAAGGAACAAGTTGTGTGATCAAAAGTAAGTATAGCTGGAAAACTGATAGTGAGAAGAAACGGAGGTAAGGGCAGGGGGTCCGCAAGATACCATAATCTCACATCTCATAAAAAGAAACATAAACGTTAAAAAAGGGTCTTGGTTGGACAATTTACGAGCGTTTTGTGTTGATGTAATATCAAAGAGCGGCCGCTACGCTTACAGCGATGGCTCCCTCTCGTCCTAATACCTATCCGTCATAAATGCCTTCGCTGTTGAATCAGTTGGCAACAAAATGCAAGATACATCTTCGAACTTTATGACCCAGTTCTTCATAGTCTTGCTCTTTTCCCTTCCCTCTTTTACCTACACTCCTCACTGGTACTTAATAACAATGATGCTGAAGTGATGTTTTTTTTTTTACTTACAATCGCTTTTCGTATAAACTTCTCGTGATTTTACTGTTACGCATTGTTACGATGTTGAAGCGTTATGCATGATGTGATGAGGAACCATCTATTGAGTCTGAGAAGGTACTCTGAGTAATTTTTGAAATTCTCTCTGCAATTCCACGTAACAACGAAAATACGTGTAATCTCTGCCGCCACTTCTGGTAACGTTCTTTTCAACTTTTAACTGCAGGAAAATAGAATGGTGCAGTTGTTATGATGTAGAACCGTTATGCACAATGTGATGCCATCTATCGGATTATAGATTCAAACTCATTTTATAATTTTCAATAATAAAATCATCAGTCTACGTAAATTATGTGTAAAAATTAATCGAAAGACGGGTATTTGCTGCAAATATTGATCACGTTGTTTTACTGGTAGCAGTAGTATTCCACCTTGCAATATTTACCGTATTGTCCACTCTTCTTTCCTTCTGATAGGAGAATGATCTCATTCTTAGTACATGGAAACTTGTATTTATAATAAGAAAAATTACTGAGCTTGAACACCTTCGTTTAAACATCAATCTACTTCTCTTGTCATCGGTTTTTGTCGCTTTTCTTCGAATTTACCCTTTGCATACATCTTTTTTCGAAAATAGCATTTTTCTTTTTATGTAAAAAATCTATGCCTAATTTTCGAAGGCATAAAAGACAAACAGTGTGTAGACGTAATTAACAAAAATTTTCTAATAATTTTCATCTTCAAATAAATTAAACTAGATTTCCAAAATCGAAATCCCATCATCCCAAAATATGTCAGTTTTGTGAATTTAAATTATTTTTGTGCAAAAAAGTTAATTTGATACTGACATTATAAATGTCACAACAACATATTCCTTGAACTGCTCTCCCTCTCTTCTTTCTCTTTCCATCTTTACCATTTTGAATGAAATTTCATCAACTTAATTTTTTGAACGATTTAAATGCTATCATAAAAATCAGCTGTTCATATAAGCTAATTTAAAGACCGCTGTGTGAGCATTATTGGAGGCATCAAATATAGCGTAAGTTCATTCAATATTAGAAACAATGGGGTAGTGTCATTAAAGAAAGTGTGTGGTTTCTTTCAATTTCAAGCTCAACTCATACAATTTAATTATCTATTATTGTGTATTGAAAAAGTGGTGCAATCAAATGTCTACTGATGGTACTTATGGTAAGCTGTTGAAAGGAAGTAAAAGATGTTTAAAAGACTCTAAGAAGCCGAATCCTCTTTCGCGGTGAAGGCAGCCTGAAGATAGCAAGTGCTAGCGTGGGTTATTCTTATCCTTCATTCTTGGCCTTCTCCACCTCAGAGAACTACTCAAAATAACATGCTGAAGCAATCCTTCTTCAAGTGCTTCACACATATCAGCTCACATACACGGAAACCTTCTTTCAAAATCATCGAATACCTTCTTTTTATTTTTAAAGCGAACATTTCGTCTAATTTTCATGTAAATTTGCCTAGAATCAATCGATTCAATGCATATCAAAATTTTGTTTAAGTTCAGCCTTCCCGATTATGCTATTATGTTTATGATTCATTTTCTCTTCGCAACTAATTAAGATGAGATTGGTCAAGCTATTTAAATTAGCCATTGAATGCATTGTTTCTCAAGTAAAATTAGGGTTAAAGCTGCGTTTTCAAATTTTTATTAAATAATAGTTTTCTTTCAATCTTTCAAATATGTGTCAAGAAGAAGTAAATCGGAATCGAGAAAATAAAATACCTTTACTTATTAAAAGTCTATGCAGTATATCTTATCAGCGCTGCGAGACATTTTTGATTCTAAGCGGCAAAATAAGTAATAGAGAAGTGCCTAGATTTAAATTCTGAATTACTCCCTCCCTCTTCCTTCTTCCCTTTCATTCTGCATTTCCGCTACGATTTAAATTGTCTTCTCTGAAACAGCGCACACATCAGCTTATCCGGAATAGCTAATCGCCTTACGAATTCTGTGTTTTTGGAAAAACCGCTGGTCGGCTTAGCCATCATAATAGTACTATGCTTAGCCGTTTCCACCTCAATCCATTGCTACACTTCCGAATTAATCCCTGCCAATTATCTACAAATAACACATTTGTCATCGCTACTCACATCATCACTATAATCACTCATCTTCTGCCATTTCCCATGTCCACTATTGTGCAACATTATCTGTCCGTCTTTACGATTTGTCGCATGCAGCATTTTTGAACTTTATGTTAGTCAGCGGTCCATTTGTCAGTTCAATGATCTTTACAACTTTTTTCTGCATCCTCTCTTTCATTCCTTCTTTCATGCACTATATACTTCCAAAAATGGATGGCAATCTATAATTTTAAGTGCTCCTCATTTGGAAATTTCGGCAACCTTTCGAAAATAAATAATTGTTTGAAAGAGCATGAGATCGAGCCTTTATTAAATAGATTAAATCACCCAACATCTTTGACAATTTGCTCGGAATAATGAAAGACAAGAGAGAATGAATATACAAAAAACCCTTACATTGTGCTCGAAGCGATAATGGTATTTGAACATTCCTCAGCAAACTGTTGGTAATCAGTCTTTTCACTTTTATGTTGGACTTTATTCACTTCATTTTGCAATTATCATTTGTAGTTCTGTTATTGCTCAATGCAATTCTAACTGTTTCAAGCAGACATTCCAATTATACTCAGAAATTCTCAGAATCTCGAAAAAAAAAACCACAATTCAGGATAGCTGAAATATGGTCGGGTGGAATGGCGGATTGAAGATATAACTCGGGAAGGGTTATTATAAAATCATTTATATCGGAAGAAAAGAATTGTTTGACGGAGAAATAAAAGTGAACAAATTGCTGAAAGACATAAAACTGAAAGGTTGTATATTTATGTGAATGCGATTCATATTACAGTGTATATATATTATGTTGATAATGGTCAAAATGGTTATAAGAAAGACAAAGAGAGAAAGAGAAAACAAACTTTGATAATAGAATGGGAATGCAATACAGATAAGAAAGAGTGAGAAACAGCAGAGAAGAATTGAGCGTCTTGAGGACATTAAAAAAGGGACGTAGTACAAGAAAATGTATTTACATATGATTGATGACCAGTGATTATCATGATCATTTTGATGATGATCGATGAGACTCGTTATCACTATAACTGCATTCGCAAAATAGTTACTACGCCTTCTGCAGTGCCCATTTCACATGCGCCATTTTTATAACCAGACATTTTTCAACCCTTTCAGATCCCTGTCAATGAATCATCTAGTTACATTAAGCCACCATCGCTCTTTACTGCCAACTAATTTACCGATAGTAGGTTTCAAATTGATGGAGAAGTGAAACAAACTATCTTTAAATTTCCACCTTCTGGAAAGTTTTTATGATTTTACAAAAAATTCTATGGTCTCTGTTTTCATACTACCAGCTATTAAAAACGCCTATGATATTGCTGCTTGGGATTTCGAGTAAAGGAACAGCATCTTCTTGATTTTCCTAACAAGATACTGCATTTAAAAATATCGGAAAACGGAGTAGCGATTTGCTATGCGTACCTTAGTGATATCATGACTGCAAGCACAACATGACATATATTTTATTCCCTTTCATGACAAATCTCCGTTAGACTGATATGATGAAAATCTTTAATTTTAATTCACTGAAATGTGGTGATATCCTCTGAGTCTACTGCTATCTTATGGAAATGTTTTTTACTATATTTCCACATTGCCTAGCAGTCTCCAGAAGTGAGCAGATGAAATTTTGTGGGAGTCTAATATAAAATGATCAAATTCTTTGAAATGTTGGGGATTATTAGGCAGTTCCCAACAAAAATTTTGTTAGGCTCTGAGATTAATTGATCTTTGTACTGATCTTCTGGATGAGATCTAGCGAGAATGAATTAGGTATTTAGTTGTATACATAACAGAAGCCACGAAAACTGCTAGTATCCTCTGACGAATTGCTGTAATCATCTCGAAGCTTGTAAAAATGCCACAGCATTTTGGTTTAATAAATAAAGCATGTGAAGTTTCATTCAAAACATATATAAATGCAGTAAATGCCCATCGTACTTAAAACACTCTTTATAGAGACCACCTTCAAGTTATTTGATGACTTTCATCAGCAAACAAATCGTCAATAAAATTGCAGATAATAAGAGCGAAACAATGGGGGGCAACTATCTCGCACCTGCAACTGCTTAGATCTATTTTGTCTTTTATCGCTTTTCCGAAGGATTAGAATTTATTCCAGAAAATATTTTTCAACATTTCATAGAATTTATGGCATCGTAACGTTACTTTAATTGTTTCAGTTAAATTCGAATACAGCTTTAGTTTAATTTCGGAAATTTTCAACTGATTATAGAGGTGATTTCAGCGCTCTCATTAATGAAATCATTTAAGTTAGTTCAATAGGAGGATATGTTTTTTGCGAGATGTAAATTTCTTAGATTTATTTTTTTAATGGCTTCCAAAAGTTTTTCTAGTGAAGACCTTAACAAACGTCTGGATGTTTACTTATGCTTTTAGTGATTGTAATTTAAAAAATTCTAATTTTAATGATATTTAAGAGAGTAAGATACAACCAGAAGTAGCGGTGATTTTTTCATTACCATACTTCAGATGAATAAAAAAATTCGGGAAGAAATGTTCAAGTTAAGCTATCCCTGTAGATTAATCCTACACAAATAAGTTTGAAATAAATTGAGCAGGAATATCAGTGATATGAGATTATAGATCTTTACAATAGCAGATGTGACCTCTTAATTGCTAATTGAACAAGTGGTCGGTGTCATTCTGTAATCCGCCACTCATGTCATTTAAGTTATTATCTTGTTTGATAGATATATGGGCAAAATGCCATGAGGTGAAAATTATGGATGTGAATTCCTCCATTACTTCCCAAATGGCATTCTGTTAATAATACATCGCCGAGGTAAGGTGTTCTTATCTTATCCGTACTTTCTAATCTCTTTGTTTTTGCAAGTCTTTTTGTGACATCTTTGTAGCTTTTAAATAAATTTAAATGAACAAGTTTAACGCAGTTCTTCTCTGAGTTCATTAATTTTTATATGTACTTATAATAATGATATTATCCACAGAATTTTTTGTGCTTTCTTACATTTGAAATTTCAAATAAAAGGTGAATAATATATATTGTAGTAAGTGAAATGTAATATACTATTGGTTAGAAGGTAAAGATGATGTGAATGGTTGGATATTTATATATGTATAGATAGTTTAATTGGATTACAACCACAAATGTTCGTGTCGTGCCTGTAAAGCAACATGCTTTGCATAGAAATATTTTCTTTTTTTTTTTGAAAAATAAGTTTAGAAGGGGATAAGAAACAATAGCTTTTTGGACTTCACTTAACATCGAAATTTTTTGGATTTGTGTTTTCACTCAGAGTGCAGCCGATAACTATTCTACCGTCAAGCAGTTTAAATTTGTTCGACCCTCAATAAGTTGAGACAACTCTCGACGATTAATAGTTGCCAAAGGAAGACAAGAAGAGTGCTTGGCGAGGCGGGGGGAGGGAGTTTAAAGGCAAAAAAATGGGATAGAAAGGGGAAAGGCAAATAATTCAGGATGCGCTTGATGAATGGTTCCATTCTGTCGGCTTACAAACAACTTCCAGCAAGCAACAGCGTCAATCCTGCCCAATATATTTTGCCCGTGAAAAGGGGAGGGGTTGACGCCCGTTTATCATTTTTTTCTTTTCCTGAGAGCTCTTGTTTTTGAAAAATGAACAGCTCTCAATCAAACGCTCTCTTCGAATCAATCATACCAACTGCTTTGTCTATGTCTTATGTCTCTCTCAGCGTTGTTTCGGCTTTCATAACAGATGAGATTTATCTACTTTTTCATTTTAAACCTCTTCATCAATTCAAACTCTAAAATTCAGAAACCCGAATGCATAGCTGTTCCTTATTTTCCTCTCCCTGAAATCCTTGAATTAGTCCAGATCCAGAGGTCCTCCAACTACTTAGCTTCAATACCAAAATATGGATTTTGGAGTATACTGCTCTCTTCTCCCTCCTTTTATCCTCCAATTCATCAAATTGCCTAGTCCTCAAGTCTCCCCCACTCATATTCCCCTTCTTCGTCTTCCCATTTTTCCCCTCCCCCTTATCGCCCTCTCCTGCATACCTCTCCTTCACTTGTCTTTTCACTTACACCGAGATAATTAATACAAATAGCCTTCTTTCAATTAAACCAAAAATGCTGCATAATATTTATTATTGGCTCTTCAATAATTCCTGATCTCAGTGCAAACCAAAGCGGTATTTAAGTAATTTTTATATAGATTTTCCTCAATTTCCATCCATCCATCCATCCATATATTCTTCTCATTACATCATTCACAACACAAACTGAGTACACATAACAATGTCCACTTACTACTACTACTACTAAATAAGATTGAAGCAAATAAATATGCCCAAGTTTCAGTCAAATAATTTCACTGCTTTTTCAGAGTGGAGTTATACAAAGGCAGGAGAAAATAGATTGGTTATTGGATGAAAAAGCTCTTTTCATAATTCCTTCCTTTAAAAGGTATAGAAGACCGAGTTATAATTTCATTCAAATCTTCAGTTACTTCCGGGAAAGATAGAAAGGTAATTCAAACTCTATCTGATTCAGCTAGCAAATTTACCCTTCGGAAAAAGCTCTGAGGATGAATTGGTTTTGAATTAAAGTGCGGTAAATAGGAATGGAAACTAGAAAATTGGAATGAGGGGTGGTATATGTATTTGATGGAGGTGACATGGATGTGTATATAATATGGATATGGTCTAATCCCCCGCACCTCTCATCAATAGTACAACATAATGATGATTGGTGTCGGCTCCTTCTTAAGGGTTTTTCTCTTTTTCATCTTTGAGAATTCGGGTTTGATGTGCGAGTGATTGGTTCGGATGGGACCCTGTCAAAAGACTTATATATCACTTGTCATTGCGTTTATGTCACCCCTTCACTTCATCTAAACATCCCTCCTCCTATCCTTTTAATTATTATATACACCCTCCCACTTCTCTCCTCCAAATATCCACCAATATGCATTCATTTGTTGCATGTTACATTGATGTTCCTGAATCAACTACTGCGCTACTACATTTTATTTATTTCTTTCCTCTGTCATTTCACATTTTGCGTCGTTATAATTCATTCCCGAAAGCTTCAAATTCACATTGTTGCAGTTAAAATAGGAAATTAAAAAAAACATTAACCTAATAGTTTTCCAAGTTAGTGGGTTGTTTTAAAGGTTTGAAGATTATTTTGATTCTATACACCAAGCTAAAAAAAAGTTTGCCTTTTACTTAGCTTCATTAATTGCTCACTTTAACCATCTTGAATTCATCTCATTACCATTTTCCCATATTGAGATATGCTGCATGTTGACTCTCAGTTTAGTATTAATCAATTACATTTGATCGGCTTTTCTCCTTTTATCTGATATCGCGTTGTAATTTCAATAATTTTTTCATGCCAAGGCTTGCTGTTGCTGCAACTAATGAATTTTACTTGTTGACAAAAAACACTTCATTTTTTGTTCTTACTCTTAAAAAAATAAAAGTAAGCTAAAGGTGGAAAGAAAATGAACGAAGCACATCTTCACTGACCCGAAACCCTTCACATTTGCCATCCTTTATCTTGGAATCTTATGAGGTAACCGCTCAGGTAGGAATGGGAATGGATTGTGGTGTCGTAAGACCGATAGAGTAAGTCATCGATAAGACATAAATAGTACATCTGAAAGTATGTTGAAGCATAATGACTGATCAATAATTAGTCCTGTAGCTTGTGATAAGTTTTGCAGAAAGCGCATGGATGAAGAAGAAGCAATGATAAGTGAGAAATTTAATTTCGATTATTTTAGTTGAGCGCAATGACGTGGCAAGCGTAATCTACGTATCGCTTTCTATGAACTTTTTTTAGTGAAAAGTTACAAAAGCAAACAATCAAAATAAGAAAATAAAGATTATGATAAAATGATAAGTGAGAAAAAAAAATGAAATGAGCATTTTGCTAGATGGCGATATAATATGGATGCACATGGTTTCATTTTTAAACATATTCAGTGCTTCATTTCAATCTCTTTCATATTGTTAAATCAGATAGTGCTAGGACTAATTTACACCATTTGTTCAATTACTCTTTTAAATTGTTTATCTTATGTAAAGGATTGGTAAGTTGTTTCAACGTTCAAGTCCTGACCCAAGGATTTACACTTCTTAGAGCTGAAATAAGATATATGAATCAATCCCGGCACAAAAAAAAATGCTAGTTCTATTTATTCTATTTTTATCTTCAAATCAAGAAGATTACTGTCAAGACTGACAAAGAAAATAATGCTTATAGAAAGGTTAATGGTAAATACTTTTTTTACACGAGGTCTTTTATAGCGATGAATAATTTATTGGTTGTGTGCGCATTTTTTTTTTGGAAAAAGTTGATATGGCAACCGGCGGATAGACAGGTTGCCAAAAAGGCCGATAGGCAAACAAGTCTTGGTTGTCAACTGATCGCTGTCAAAAACGAACAAGTATAAATTTTCTAAAGAATGATCATTAATGTTGCTATCATAAAACAGTGTTTATACCTTCCCAGTTTATACAATAGTCCACTGCACTGAATCATTTGATAATTCTTCAGATGTCTTAGTCTCCTTTAAAACCGTTTCATGTTTCTGGAATTTCCTAGCCTTTCTTATTAGTTATGCATTTCAGTAAATTTAGTAATTATTTACGAGCTCGGATTTTGTTTTGTCTTTGGCTGTGACAGTTTACCCCAGAAATTGCAAAAGAACTGAAAGGCCTTGTAAAGAACATACTGGATTTTCGATGAGGATACCAACCATCTCAATCCTCGAACCATGTAGTTGAAATGAATTACTGTAACTTGTTGTACTGTTGCTGCAAAGTGTAATATTTTGTAGGACTGTTGTTTATGATGGCGATGATGATGATGAATGTGTAGAATGGTCGGATAATGGATTGCTTAAGGAGTAGTGACCTAAATGATTGGCATGGCAAGCAATAGCAGTTTCTGTTTAACTGTTAAGCATCATCAGTAGCACCAGCTCCAGCAACAGCATCAACATCGGCATCGGCACTAGCATGAAAGCAATGCAAATTTCTGTGAATGGATGCTGTAGAAGCACCTCCCATACGGGCCTGTTCATTGGTGGGGTGGTAGAATGAGGCGGAAAGGGGTGGAAGAGGGGTATATTTCACAGCATGCCTCCCTTCCCTCCCTCTTCAACTTGCAGCACCACTGCGCGGCACTTGTCTTTGAAGTTTCTCGCTGACGACGGGTTTCAGCTGGGTGGGTCCGCCTTGATCTCGCCCCCACTCATATAACACAGTTCTTATTTGTAGCAGGTGCCCGAAGCGGTTTGCTCTGCTGGCTGGCTGTGTCCTTCAGCTGGTTACGTCAGTCCGCGTCCGCGTTTTTCTTTATCATTTAGCGTTCTATATATATATATATATATATATATATGTATATATTGTATATATCGATATATCCTTCAGATTATTCGTTATCCAGTTTACAAGCGATTTCCTGACAAAATTCCCCTACTATATTGTCTCTACACCTGCCAACTCATTCTACGGCAGTATTTTGCCTTGCATTTAGAAAAAAGCGTATCCAATTATTAAACAGGGATGGTTTCTACACATTCACAATACC